TTTCTTTCTCTCTCTCGCTTTCTTTCTTTCTTTCTTTCTTTCTTTCTTTCTTTCTTTCTTTCTTTCTTTCTTTCTTTTTCTTTCTTTCTTTCTTTCTCTTTCTTTCTTTCTTCTTTCTTTTGAGATGGACTTTTGCTCTGTTGCCCAGGCTGGAATGCAGTGGCGTGATCTCGACTCATTGCAACCTGTACCTCCCGGGTTCAAGCAATTTTCCTGCCTCAGCCTCCTGAGTATCTGGGGCTATAGGCTCCTGCCACCACACCTGGCTAATTTTTAGTAGAGACAGGGTTTCACCGTGTTAGCCAGGATGGTCTTGATCTCCTGACCTTGTGATCAGCCCGCCTTGACCTCCCAAAGTGCTGTGATTACAGGCGTGAGCCACTGTGCCCGGCCAAAACTACATTTCCTTAATAGACTTTCTGAATTCAAAATTCTTCCTGTTCAGTCACACTGGACTTTCTCTCAATGTGACAAAACTATCGAGATTTTATTGACTTACTGAATAACCGTTAACTTTGCCATGTGTTAAGATGCTGTGTAGTCAAACCACGGCTCTGAAATCTATTTTTATTTTGCATGTAACAAATTTTGCTGTAAACAATAAGCTTAAAAACAATAAGCTTAAAAACAATAATCATAACTCATTAAAATGTATATTTTAATTTTTGATATATGTTATTATGCCTCAGTGAAACTTTGTTTTAAAACACAGAGTGAATAAAAAGTTGAGCTATTAAAACTAAAAAGTAATGATTTGCTAATTTGTAGAAGAGACCCAAGAAATAGGAATAATATTTGGAACTTGATCCTTCTTACACCCTTGAGGGAATCACTTATCCCTTATTGTGTCATGGTTTCCCTTAGTGAAACCAGAAAATATCATCTTGCAAGACTGCTTATAGTTAATTAATATGTATGAAGTTCTTGAATATAAATATTAAATATTTGACGATATTATCTAGTAAATATTATCTAACTGCATTTATAAATAGTAGCATTTTTACAGCCAGGTTATAATTACAAAATATAGCCCATTTAAAATATATACAAATATATGCATATATATTTTTTCCTATGCACGTAGGAAAAGAAAGTCAAAATTATACAAAAACAAGGCAGGAAAATATGCCTTTCATGTAAGATTGAGTGTTTCCATTGATCAATATAATTTTTAAAATTTTGTGATTTTTTTTTCATTTAATTGGTTATCTCATTTGCACTCTTCCTGAGATATTAATAAAATTGCATATGCTGTAAACAGCAGGAAACTGTAAGAACTGCTGGCTTTATTCGTAGTTAATAAAGAAAATCAGATGATGAAATTGTCTGAAAATAAGCCATTTTGTTTATCTAAAAGTTATGTCTGCCCCAAGGATCCAAGTAATAGAGCTTTGAAATTTTCGAGGAAATGTTGCTATAAATCGGGGTATCGCAACCTCAGCACTACTGAGGTTTGGGGCAGCTGGATAACTCTGCTGTGGGGTCTGTCTAGTGGGCTCTGGGAGGTTTAGCAGCCTCCCTGGCCTCTGCCCACTCGATGCCAGTAGCACCCCCTGCCTTATTTGTGACAACCAAATGTCCCCGGGGACAAAATCGCCCCCAGTTGAGAAACACTCCTATAAACAGCACGTTCATGCGGGGGTGGGCGTACATTTACGTGTGCTGGGGACAAGCCCATAGGTTTAGCGGAGAGTCCTGGGGTTCCAAATTGGCATTTCCCAACAGCTGGGCTGATGCAGCGACTTTCAGACGCTAGGACCTCCAGGCAGAAAGTGGAGGTGCAATAGGGACTGTCTGCATGCTGCCCTGGCAGAGTTGGGGTGACAGGCACATCTGATCTGTTCACAGACACTGCCAGGCCCTCTCAGAGCTCACGACTTGCCTCCCTTTCCCCTGCAGCTAGGGAGCCTTTTGTTTTGCCCTCAATTCTCCAAAACAACAATCTAAAGGATTTCCTTTATCTTTAACTGTGTTACAAACATGTTTCAGGTCCTTTGCAGGGACATGGATGAATCTGGAAACCATCATTTTCAGCAAACAGACTCAAGAACGGAAAACCAAACACTGCATGTTCTCACTTATAGGTAGGTGTCGAACAGTGAGGACACATGGACACAGGGAGGGGAACGTCACACGCTGGGGTCTGTTGGGGGGGTGGGGGGCTAAGGGAGGGATAGCAGGGGGTGGGGAGATTGGGGAGGAATAACATTGGGAGAAATACCTAATGTAGGTGACTGGGGGATGGAGGCAGCAAACCACCATGGCATGTGTATGCCTATGTAACAATCTTGCACATGTACCCCAGAACTTAAAATATAATTTATATATATATACATATATATAATTTTATATATATATAATTATATATATATATATATATAAACATGTTGATACTTTGCCAAACAAAAACCTGATGAAATATATTCTGAGTTTTCTATTTTCCTACATAAAAACTTAAAAACCACAGGCTGGAGGAAAGAATGTGTAGAGAAGATATAGGAAGTGGTGTTATAAAGCTGGAGCTGAGCTTCCCCCCACCCCACCCCCAGCTGCAGGTCCAAGATGAAGGTAGCAGCTGATTCGGTGTGTGGTGAGGGCCTGCTTCCTGGTCTACGATGGCACCTTGTCACTATGTCCTTACACGGCAGAAAGGGCCAATGACCTCTGGGGCCTATTCTATAAGGCAGTAATCCCATTCACGAGAGCTCCACCCTTAAGACACAATCACCTCGCAAAGGCCCTGCCTTCGAATACCATCACCTTGGGGGTGAGCATTTCAACATAGGAATTTGGGGGTGACACACATGTTCACCCTACAGCAATTCTTGCTCAGGTATTTGTGTGGACATATGGTTTCACTTCGCTTGGGTACGCCTTCATCTCTTGATAAGATTGGTGAATACACTCCTCTGTTTTTCCTGCCTCCAGACTTATTCTATCAACCCGCTCTCCAACCTTTCAGTCAAGTTTATTTATTTATTTGTTTTATTTATTTATTTATTTATTTATTTTTAAAATTTTTTTAATTTAAAAAAAATTTTTTTTTTTTTTTTTGAGACGGAGTTTCGCTCTTGTTACCCAGGCTGGAGTGCAATGGCGCGATCTCGGCTCACTGCAACCTCCGCCTCCTGGGTTCAGGCAATTCTCCTGCCTCAGCCTCCCGAGTAGCCGGGATTACACACACACACCACCATGCCCAGCTAATTTTTTGTATTTTTAGTAGAGACGGGGTTTCACCATGTTGACCAGGATGGTCTTGATCTCTTGACCTTGTGATCCACCCGCCTCGGCCTCCCAAAGTGCTGGGATTACAGGCGTGAGCCACCGCGCCCGGCCTGTTTTATTTTTTGAGACAGAATCTCACTCTGTCTCCCAGGCTGGAGTGCCATGGTGTGATCTCGGCTCACTGCAACCTCCACCTCCTAAGTTTGAGATATTCTCCTGTCTCAGCCTCCTGAGTACCTGGGACTATAGGCTTGCACCATCACACTCGGTTAAATTTTGTATTTTTTGTAGAGACAGGGTTTCCCTATGTTGGCAAGGCTGGTCTCGAACTCCCAAACTCAAGCAATTCGCCTGCCTCGACCTCCCAAAGTGCTGGGATTATAGGCATGAGCCACTACGACTGACCTAGTTTAGTTTTTTAACATGTAAATCTTTTAAATGTGTAAATTGTATCATGCTGAGCCCTGTATGTAAAATCTTTCCATACCTTTCCATTGCACTGAGAAAAAAAATGCCAAAGCTTCATTTGGCCTTCTTCTTCAACCCCATCTCCGGGGGATGTGGCAGGTGAGTGGGAGATGGGGCTGGGAACACCCCTCTGTTTCCCTCAGCTCACTTTGGGATACAGTGCGGCTACAGTCCTTGACAGCATGAACACTGTTGCCACTTGCCTCTCTCCTCCGCCCAGCCCTCCATCCCCCAGGGCACTTCAGCTACCTGAAAGGGAAAGGCGGTGGTACTGCAGGTCCTCTTCTCTCCCAGGGCCCCTCCTGAAGACTCCAAGGCACAAGACCCCTGAAGGTTAGAGCTGAGAGGGCCTTGGGGAGCACCGGCCGGGCTGAGTTTCCAGCTGTGCCCTAGGCAGCTTCATCGGCGCTAGGAACCTGTCAGAGCTGGGAAACAGGGTGCGACGCTGAGTCCCAGGGCTCCGAGGGTGTGTTTTCTGGCAGTTTTGTTTGAACAGAATTTTTATCACTGGAAAGAAAAAGGGACCTGAGCCGGTGGTGGCTCACGCCTGTAATTTCAGCGCTTTGGGAGGCCAAGTCGGCAGATCACCTGAGGTCAGGAGTTTGAGACCAGCTTGGCCAACATGGGGAAACCCCATCTCTACTAAAAATACAAAAAGCCAAATGCAGTGGCTCACCCCTGTAATCCCAGCACTCTGGGAGGCCAAGGCAGGCAGATCACTTGAGGTCAGGAGTTCGAGACCAGCCTGGACAACATGGTGAAACCCTGACTCTGCAAAAAACTATTAAAAAATTAGCCAGGTGTAGTGGCGAACGCCTGTAATCCCAGCTACTCGGGAGGCTGAGGCAGGAGAATCGCTTGAACCTAGGAGGAGGGTTGCAATGACCCAAGATTGTGCCACTTCACTTCAGCCTGGGTGACAGTGCAAGACTTCGGCTCAAAATAAATAAATAAGTAAAAATACAAATACAAAAATTACCCAGGAATGGTAGCCGGTGCCTGTAATCTCTGCTACTCGGGAGGCTGAGGCAGGAGAATCGCTTGAACCTAGGAGGAGGGTTGCAATGACCCAAGATTGTGCCACTTCACTTCAGCCTGGGTGACAGTGCAAGACTTCGGCTCAAAATAAATAAATAAGTAAAAATACAAATACAAAAATTACCCAGGAATGGTAGCCGGTGCCTGTAATCTCAGCTACTTGGGAGGTTGAGGCAGGAGAATCCCTTGAACCCAGGAGAGGAAGGTTACAGGGAGCGGAGATGGCCTCACCGGACTCCAGCCTGGGCTACAGAGAGAGACTCCATCTCAAAATAAATACATAAATAAATTTTAAAAAAGAAAAGAGGGTCTGAGAACAGATGGATTGAATCCAGCCTTCTTCATTTATAGAGGAGGAAACCGAGGCCAAGCCAAGCGCAGCTCCTTCTTCTCCAGGCCAGAAGCCAGGAGTTGCTGTCCACTGTTTCTCCCGGCGACTCACGGACACTTGGCAGTCACTGGGCCTGCCTTCCCCAGGATGCCTACGGAGTGCCCAGAGCAGGGTCAGCGCTCCGGGACACCAGGGCACAGAGTGTACGCTGGAGAGAAACAGGACGGGGCGCTTCCAACCAAAGCTAGAAACAGCAGCGGCTGCCTGCTCGGGCGGGGCAGAGACCCGGAAAGTGACTCTCCACCGACTCGGGAAGCGCCGCCTCCAGAAAC